TGATATTTTTTAGTCCGATATTATTATTATAAATTAAAACACAAAAATTACAATTACTAATTTATAAATTAAATTGATTATTTATTTACCCAGAAAAAAAAAAAACATCAAATGGAAAACCTATACAATGCAAGAAAATTGACGGGACTGATACAAAATACATGAATGCAAAACAGATACAATGCATGATCGCCCATATTTGCTACCAAGATTTGTAAGAAATTTCAGCACATGCCATACCTGTCTATCTCTATCCTAGGGTTTAGGGTTACAAAAATATAACTTTAAACTAGGACAATCAGTTTGTTAAATACCTATAAATGAATGACGAAACCGAGAGGTGGTTCAAAAATATTTGCTCCAGCGTGGAGAAGCAAAACAGATACAGACATAGGGAGAAATTGTAACAGCCCGTTGTACACCGGTATTGTTAACATTAATTATGATATTAAGCGCAGTTACAATCACAGCGATTCATTTATAAAAATGCGAGTAAACTTTTTCCGTTTATTACGCGAGCATTTAAAACAATAAAAAGCGTAATAAATAAAAGTTGTAACCGTAACTGTAAACTCTTTCAGAATAATTATTTAAACTACTTTTATATCATATATTACTTCTCTCAAGTCACTAAGGGGTTACCATAAACCCACTTAGCTAAAATCTCACTTTTACGTTTTCTACCTATCCGAACATGGTTCGGTATTTAATTTTCTGCGGGCAAACCACATTCAACAAGCCTCCTATCTTTTAGTATGTTATTCTAGACTTAATTACCTTTCTTGGAAGCTACCACACGAGTTATAAAGTTCTCGTTTTCTCCGGATATCGCCGTTTGAAGTTGGACAAGCAAATCTGCCAGCCAATCCCAAAACAGCTCCAAATAGCCTTCATGCAATCAATTATTCTGGAAACTCCACTCAACCAATTTCTCTCAACTTTTTATACAACAAACTAGACACCTCGAGATTCAATTTGACATATCATACACCTAATTTGACCAAGAAACGAAGCAGGAATAATTTTTCCAATCTCGCACCAGAACTGTCACATGTGCAGTGGCAACATGAGCAGTCTGTGCTCTCTGCCTTCTATAGGCCGACACTCAACCCAGAATTTCCTCAAATTTTGACACGAGATAGAGGACATCTCAAGCTTCAAAACGGCGTATGGCACATCCCTATCGGACCTCTGTGGAGTGAGATATTCTCTTCCAAAGTTAAATCATACCTGTCCGCTAACTCAGGATACAACTGGAGAATCTCATCCTCCCGTTCCCAAGTAGCCTCCTCAGGTGTACGTCATTCCCATTGAATCTTTAACATTGGAATATTTTTGCTTCTCAGCCTCTTTTCACTGTGGTCGAGGACATCAATAGGACCTACATGAGTCTTTAAATTCTCCTGAATCTTAATATCGTCTGGTAACACCGCATGTGATTCATCCGGAATATAACGCCGCAACTGCGATATATGAAACACATCGTGCAAATTCGACAACTGTGGGGGAAAGGCAAGCTGATAGGCCACTAACCCCACTCTTTTCATTATCTGATACGGTCCAATAAACTGAGGACTCAGCTTCCTCACACCCAATGCTCGGCCAACACCCGTAACTGGAGATAACCGCACAAATACATGATCACCTTCTTCAAATTCTAGCGGTATATGTCTATTATCATAGTAACTTTTCTGCCGATTCTGTGCCTGTTTAAGTTTTTCTCTGATCATTTCAATCTGTGATGTAGTTTCTTGCACAAAATCCGGTCCAAATCTCTCTTTATCACCTACCTCAGTCCAACAAGTAGGAGTACGACATCTTCAACCATAGAATGCCTCATACGGTGCCATGCCCAGACTAGAATGAAAACTGTTATTATAAGAAAATTCCACCAGTGATAAGTACCTGTCTCAAGCATTACCCTGCTCTAGTGTGCAAGCTCTCAGCATATCCTCAAGTGTCTGTATGGTCCTCTCAGTCTGACCATCAGTTTGTGGGTGGTACGCAGTGCTCAGCCTAAGCTGAGTGCCAAAAGCCTGTTGCAAGGCTCCCCAAAAACGAGAAGTAAATTTCGAGTCCCGATCACTAACAATACTAATTGGTATCCCGTGGAGCCTTACAATCTCCTTTACATATAACTTTGCTAATTTCTCTGTAGAGAAATCCACTCGCACTGGCAGAATGTGCAGACTTCGTAAGCTTGTCCACTATAACCCAAATTGAATCGTAACCAGCCTGAGTCCGAGGCAGACCAACAACGAAATCCATAGAGATGCTCTTCCATTTCCACTCTGGTATATCCAATGGCTGAAGTAAACCAGCAGGTTTCTGATGTTTTATTTTTACCTTCTGACAAATTAAGCACCTCGATATTCAAACTTAGAGCTCAAAACTCAATCAGCTCATTTTACGGTGCAATCGTACCGCAATATTTTTACCTGGTAAAAACACTATTGACCAAATTTTCTGATACTTGCCTAACCACTCAATTTTTCGTTTTGAATCCATTTTCAGGGTTATTTTTATCATTTGAGACTTCCTACTCAATTTTACCTTCCTAGGGTTGTGTGTTTGGCTAATTACCGTTTTACTCTTCCTTTGTAATTTGACCTGATTTTCAGGATTTTCACTTTAATCCATGTTTAATGTATTAATATATAATTTAGAAATGCGAGGTGTTATAGAAATCATAAATGAGAGAAGAAGGGAGGGGAAGGGAAGAAGAGAGAAGAAGAGAGGGGAAGGGAAGAAGGGGTGCAACGGTACTATTGATTCGTGTCATCCAATGTGGCGAGATCAGGCCACGTGTATTAGCTCAACCAGTCTCGTCACTTTATGTGGCGGGACCTCACCTATGTTGTCAGCAAAGGTGGCGGGTTCATGCCACGTCACCTGTAGCCCACCAATCTCGTTAGGGAGTGTGGCGAGACTCCAACACGTTAGACATGCAGACGAGACATGTGGCATACTCGTGAAATGTCACGACGGGAGTGATGGCCATATCCGAGGTGGCATGTAATCATGTTAGCTATTCCTACGAGACTGGTCTCGTCAAATATTTTGACGTGTTTGATTGCCTTAGGTTGGTTATACATTTCAAAATTGCTTTAGTAAGAGATACATTTGTAAAATATTATTAATACAGTCGTTTTGCCCTCTCCTTTCACATAAGATAACTTCTCTCATACTCTCTCACTTCGATTTTCGCATCCAATTTTTTTTTTTGTAATGGTGGTATCCACTTATTTTTTCTCTACAATATAAGATAAGCATCTTATGTAAAAAGAAAGTAATAAAGTCATATATATATATATATATATATATATATATATATATATATATATAGGGGAAAGTGTTAGTTATTTTAAATGACATAAAGTTATGTCATTTTAAAAGAGAGATAGACACAAGAAAATATATGTTTATTTAAAATTTAAATTAAAAAAAATCACTCATTTTCTCTCCCATGATTTCCATTCCTTGTGTGTATCTCTCTCTTAAAATGACATAACTTATGTCATTTAAAATGACAAACACCAAATCCATATATATATATATATATATATATATATATATATATATATATATATATATATAAAATGCTTTTCTCCTTTTACATAAGAGAAGAGTTGTCTTTTACTGAGTCAAAAAAGTGGGGCCAGCTATTAGAAAATAAAATAAAAATAAAAACAAAACTTGGCACGAAATTCGATCTATGTGTAGGAATCAAATATTCTCTCATGTAAAAGGAGAAAAACATTTCCCTTATATATATATATATATATATATATATATATATATATATATATATATATATATGAGTTCGTCTTTTCTACCGTAAAAAAATTATCTACATTAAACCCAAATCAACGTTCGTTTTTGGAGTACATTACTAATACCCGAATCGAAGCTCTTCAATAATTGTACGTGAGATCAATGACTTCAAGAATAATCATCAAATATCGACAAGTGACATATATGAAATTGCTTAATCTATGTTAGAAATGAACCTATTTGTTTTTAAAAAAACTTCAATACATTAAAGAAAGATTATCAAGCATAGATAATAGTTCACATATATAAGATTAACTATGTTATGTTAGAAATGCACCTCTTCTTTATAAACTATTAATTTCAATGTGTATGATAAGGTGTGTCTACATAAGAATCACTCCTGGAAACAACTTTCAATTTGCTCCCTCGGTTATATCCCCTCCTCTGAAGAAAAAAAAAAAAAGTACATCTTTTGATTTTTTTTCAGGTGGAAAAAAAATTCCACTAGGGGATTGCAGATTAGACTGAATAAGATATGAATCAACTGACCTGGATTAGACTTTTTTCTATTTTTTGTATACAGATTATACTTTGACTTAAATATATATAAGATTTATCACTTATGTACAAAATTTTAAATTTGACATGACTTAGTTCAATGTAGGCTAAATTATAAATTGACCTATATTTAAAAAATAAATAAAGGGCCCAACTTAGACTAACATGCCTGTTTAAACTTATTAAGCCTTCAAGAATTTTAAAAAAAGAATATAATATTATTTTATTATTTAATGTTATTAAAATAATAATTTTATTTAAAATAAATAATACGATATTCAAATTTTGTAAAAGGAAAATCATGACCTCTTTTTCAAATAGATTTTTATAAGATTTAAATCTGTTTTAAATAATAAAAAAATTAAGAAAGATCTATTTTATTTTACTGTAGCATAATTCTAACTATTAGCAATGACGAATAACTTGAAAGAAAAGAGAGAGAAAGCTCCGCAAGAGAACCTGATTTAGTTGCTGATAGGAAAATGGTTAGAATGGGAATCTTGTGAATGATGCGTTTTTAAGTGTCAGAATATACTTAAAAAGTGAAACTATAAGTTGCGTGGTTCTCGAGCTCACATAAAAAATAATTGTCACTTTGATCACTAACGTGGTAGCTCCAAGTCAACATCACATGTAATGAACAAAATTCCAACACAAACCAATTCCTTTTACCTACGTCTCCATTTACAGTTGCTGGTCGTCCATTTCAGAAACCAAGCTCCAATTACAGTTTCAATATAACAAACAACCTTAATAAGAAACCCTTCTCTCCCAAAATTTAATCTACTTCAACTGCTGTTTCATCACATGGGTGTCTCAAATTTGTCATCTTTCACTCTATAAGCATCACAAAGCCATGGTCTTACCAGTTTTTAATCAGCTTTTAATGCCAAGTTGCTAACTTGATACCACTCATAAGGTGCTACCCAAAAATTCATGGCACCCTCTATTCCTTTTGTTCTGTTATCCCTTCTGTTGATTGCAACAAGTGGTTATGTGCAACCCCATGAAGAGGGTTTCATCTCTGGGGTCATATCTGATAAGGGTCTTGATTTTGCCAAGGATTTGCTGATACAGGAAGGTATTGCATCCATTGTTCAGCTTCAGCTGCCTGAGATTGAGAACTCTGTTCAAGTCCCACTTGTTGGAAATGCTAAAGTTGTTCTTTCTAACATCACAATTGAGGATATTCAAATCAATTCTTCATCTATTACGACAGGAGAGACTGGTATTGTTCTAGTTGTTTCAGGTGCCACTGCCAATTTGAGCATGAGCTGGAGGTATTCTTGCAGCACTTGGTTAATCCCAATTGGAATTTCAGATAGTGGGAACGCTTCAGTGAAGGTATAAAACTAATATTTTCGTCATGTTTATATATACTTTATGTTGTCGTTTAATATTTTTCCTATAGCTGCAGTTGCAGAAATTTGTTATAGTTTTGTTTGAATTGTAGTTACATAGTTGTGTTATGTTTTAATTCAGAATGTTGTACCTTGAAACAAATAACAAATGTTTTCATAAAGTTGATTGTTTTTGTCAAAATTGGTTTGCCTGGTTTTCCTTAGGAATATATGACAAAGAATGTTGGAATTGCATTGTGACTCGTCTTGCAATTGTAATTAAATCAACTAAGTTAAACTTAGCCATTTCTTATAACAAGTGGATTTGAAACCATAGCTCTCAAGTTCATGGAACTAGTTAGCTAATGAGTATTTTGATTGCTGTGCCCTGTGTAGAATAAAATTTCAGGATTCATAATTTTGTGCATGTAAGTGGAGTTTAATACAAGATTGCAAAAGGAAGAAGAAGTATATCTATAATTATTTGTTACCTTTGGAAAGGTTGTAGATAAAATGGAAATCATCAACAAATAAATGTGATGGGTTTTCAATTTTTTGTTCAAATTAGAACTCAAGGTAATAAGCCAAATATAATTGACGCTGGAGATTAAAAAGCAAAAGAAAGAAAAAAGGTGTTGTATATAGGTGTACAATTAAAAAAATAAATGTATTTCAGTTTCAGTATCTAATACACACACACTCATGTTGTTCAATCAACAATATCCCTCATTCAGTTATGTTGTGCTATGTTTGGAAGGTTAGAGGCATGCAATTGGGGCTAACAGTAAATTTAAAGAACCAAGAAGGAACTCTTAAGTTGGATCTCTTAGATTATGGATGTTATGTGGGAGATTTATCTATAAAGTTGGACGGTGGGACAGCTTGGCTTTACCAAGTGTAAGCAATCTTCTCTGCCATGTTTCTGATAAATGGTTACTATTCACATCTTCTTTCTTAGAGAATTATTCTTTGCTTATTGGTGATTGGTGTTCTCACATTCCCATAGGGAAGAGTTTGGTAAACAACTACAATATCAAAGTTATATTTCAACTTTATTCTTTATTGCTTTGTTCTTTAGTCTAGTGTGACATGAAACGGGGAATACAGAGCTAAAATTTCTAGATTAATATGAATTGTTGCTTTATTTTTTTAGGATCAGTTTGCCAAGTGCAAAGTTTTAGGTCTTGTGGTCTCTTATATGTGGTGAACTTGGACTAAAGAATAAGTGCATCTATTCCACTTTACTGCCTCTTTTCCTGGTGAAGTAGCTAGACTTCTTATTTAGATAGATCTGTCTTTGATTTCATAAAGATATGATGGTTCTTAATTAACTGAAGTTAAGAAAAACCATAGAGTTAATTTTTCTGCATGATGTTTTTGTTTTTGGAATAAGGACCTTTTGTGAGTAATATTATTGAAGTGTACTCCCTTCCAAACATCTGTTGATTGATATCATAGAATCATTTTCCTTTCATGATAATGATATTATGAACTTTGCTTATGTTATGGTCCTATATATATTTAATGAAGATAATATGCCATTTACTTTTTTATGTTTGTTTCAGGCTAGTTGATGCTTTTAAAGGGAATATAGCATCTGCAGTTGAAGAGGCCATTTCAGAGCAGATAAGAGAAGGGATAGAAGAGCTTGACAATTTATTGCAATCTCTTCCAAAGCAAATCTCACTAGACAAAACTGCTGCACTAAATGTTTCTTTCGTTGGCAATCCTGTGTTGAGTAATTCCTCTATTGCGATTGCACTTGATGGTTTATTTACAGGGATAAATGAAGTTTTAGCACCTCAAGGTTACCAGAAAGGATTTAAGATTTCTTCTGCCTGTGGTGGTTTACCAAAGATGATAAAGGTTTCAATACATGAAAATGTGTTCAAATCTGCTTCCCTAATTTACTTCAATGTAAGTTTCTGAAATTTTTACTTATTATTTTACACGTCTTAGTCCAATCACAGTCTTTTTTAATTGGAGCTCTATGTATGATGTGTATTAGCTTCTTATAACCTGTTGCATATGATCTAACCTAGGATTGCTAATGATAAATTAGTTTGCAACTTTTTAGGCTCTGAGATTGTCAAAACACTGCCGAAGAAATTGTTTGTGCTTTATATGAAACCAAGATTGTTTGGGCCTGTTGAGATATATAGTCCCACATTGGTTGTATGTGCAACTAATGTGGAGTTTATCAGAGCCTCGCCGCCCCCCACGTTCTCTTGTGGCATTTCTTAGCACAGGTAGGCTGAGCTTGTTGCATTGTCCACTCTTCAAGCCCAATGGGCTCTCGTGTGAGGGGGCGGGTTGAGATATATAGTCCCACATTGGTTGTATGTGCAACTAATGTGGAGCTTATAAGGCCTTGGGCACTCCCACCCTTTGAGCTAGCTTTTGGAGTGGTGTATCCCAAGGTTCTTTACAGGGCCAAAACATTGTGTTTCCTCAGTTTGCATGCTTCCATCATTTATATACAAATATTAGTGGTTTGTGTTCTTTAATGAATGTTGGTTTTGAAACCATTGGTTGGGTGCTCTGATGTTGTTGGAATCTCACTGAATTTGGGATAAAAGGATTGTTTTTCCTGAGCTCGAATAGACCTTAGGTGGGTTAGCTGCATCACAATATCTTGGAACTGAGTTCTTTATCTAAAAAATTTATTAAAAAATATGACAGAATAGTGCTGATTCGATTTTGAGGACGAGCCATGAAGTTGCGTTAAGATTGCTCCTTGTGACCGAAGGTAACAGGTTCGAATCTGGAAAATAATTTATTTGTAGAAATCCAAAAGTAAGGCTACATACAATGGACTCTCACCCTTACCCTAGCAAGTCAACCCTAGCAAGTCAGGGAACCTTGTGCATCAGGGTTTACCCTTTAGCACTGATTCAGTTTTATAAACTAATTGGACGGCTTCAACTAACTGTTCACACTTCAAGCATTTATGTTGGATGCTTTTACATTATTATAGAAACTGAAATGTAGTTTAATAGTTTATGTTGTTCTTGGGTTCAGGCAGGTAATATGCAATTGATTGTTGATGAACTACCAGATCAGAACATTTTGAACACTGCTGAATGGAGATTCATAGTTCCCAAATTATACAAGCGATATCCAAATGATGACATGCAGCTTAATATATCAGTATCTTCTCCACCAGTTATACAAGTGACCTACCAAGATATTGGTGCTACTATTTTTGTAGATATAATAATTGATGTTCTGGAAGGTGGTGAAATCATACCAGTTGCATGCATCTCAGTGGTATGTTTAACTCCACAAATGGAAGCTAATGTGCTTAATTTAGTAGCTTTATCTCATTATGTATTTTTCAACATTCAAATTAAGCTTCATGACATTCAAACTTTTCACTCTTTTGTCTTCATATTGTCATATACAAAACATAGCCAAGTTTTGAAGTGTTGACAAAAGTTTCAATGTTGCCTATAATATTTTCTGTGTCAGCATGCACGTGATCCCATTTATCAGTTAAGAGTGTGGCCATGATCATTATCATATCTAATACGTTTGATTAATTTTGCTTATGCCACAGGATATTAGTGCTTCATGTGGTGTGGAAATAGTCGGAAACAATATTGCTGGCAGGCTCAAATTACAAAAATTTTCCACATACCTGAAATGGAGCAAAATAGGGAAACTGCACATGCATCTGATTCAGGTAAATCAGAATAAATGTATTCACATTTTCAGCTTGCAGATATGCATTTTTTTTATTCTAATTCTGTACATATGTAACATCATCTCATGTACCCAGAAATAATTCTTATTTATATTTTCAATTATATGATTGCTAAACCTTAACCATTGTCCAATATGCTAACTATGAATCTTACTCTTCAACTTTGTAAATATCTGCAGTCACTGATGTCAACTGTCCTCAAAACCATCATCCTACCTTACCTGAACTTCGAATTAAAGAGAGGGCTCTCATTGCCAATTATTGATGGTTTTGGTTTTCAGAATGCTAATATCTTGTACAACCATCCATGGATTGCAGTGTGTAGTGATGTTTTCTTCTTAGAAGATTACTATCTTAGTCACCAGTCACCCTATGTATCATAATACTTTTGTGGTAAGGCAATAAGCAACCTACCTAGATTGTTGTAAAGTGTAAAGAAAATATATAAGCCTACTATATATAATGTGTACATAACACCATTTATATACCTTTTGGATTCAGCCTACTATAAGCCATGCTTCCATGAAGATTACTTGTTAAAAATTAATACGATTATTATTATTAGTTTTTAAGTACAGTTTCATATAGTTAAAATAAAATTGAGAAAAATGGGAACCAACACAATGTGCAAAACCCTCAATTAATAAAGAGAAAAACCACATGCTACAATCTCTCTCTGAATGCAAGGAGAGAAAATTATCACTTTCTCGAGTTAAGAAAATACAACACACTTAGAAAACACTCGGAAAATACTACATATATTATTTTTTCTTAGTTTGGAATGATAAAAAATAGAGAATGGATTCTATTTGTGGCCTAAGGATGATTTACGCATTTAGCATTGCTCTGAATTTCTTCTGCGTTCCGCAATTAGCACAAGCAATTTCCGCAATTATCAACTTGTGTCAATCGTGCTTGAAGACAATCCAAAAGAACCATAAGTCACTAATTCAATAGTGCATAGATTATGTACCAAAAAAAAAAAAAAAATAGTGCATAGATTGTCTAAAGCCACGGAAAGTGGCGTTTTACGTCATCTGTTACATCAAACAATCACTTATTGTCACTTTTGATGAATTTTCAAAATCTTTCCATTTGTGTCATTTACATGCTGTTTACATTTCTGATATATCATAGAAGGATTGACATCATATACATTTAGGGAAATACTTTTATTATGTAGTAGGAAATTAGTTATCTCATGTTGTAGAAATAAAATTACAAATGAGACTCACAGATAAAAAGAGAGAAAAAAAAAGAGTGGTGGGACTCATCCCTCTTTTGTGTGTATAGAAAAATTATTTCTCTCATTTAAATGAGATAAATATAACACATAAATTTATTAGCATTGATTGGTTTTGTCATAACATCTGCTAGGTTTTTTGTTTGTGCCATTTTTTTGTGTGCTTGTATGTTCAAAATAACCTCATCACTTGTTCCACTTTATCTTTCTCATTGCAACATTTACTAAGTCACTACTTCAAGTTATGCACAAGGCAAATCAACGTGTTGACAAACGCAAAAAACAGCATTGTGTGTGGCAACGTTAAACTTGAAGGTTGATGAATGCATGTTAGTTGTAATAACTTTTGTTTCACATGTCCAATTCTAGCTGAAGCAATATTGTTGAAATGCCATTGAAAAGCTGGTGATACATACTTTTTAATATATCTTTTAGGAAAATTATGTACCCAAAATTTTCAAAAAAATTAATTCAAGCAGGCTTTTGTTTATTCAGTAGTGAGCCCACTTGACCTAGCCCATTAAATAATATTGGTTTTGTTCATATTAAGGTTTGTGTTTGGCCCATCCATCCAGACAGGCTTTTATCTACTATTTCGGCCATGTATGAATAGCCTATTTAGAGGTCCAACTAGTTCGAAAGATGTCACTTTCAGCTTAAGTTTATTTACAATAAGGGTAATATTAATATTATGTAACTGGAAAACAAATCCCTTTTCTGCACAAACAATGAAAACACGGGGTCCACAATTTTTCTTTTTCTTTTTCTCCTATCACTTTCTCTCTCTTCACTTTTGTCTCTGCTGGAAAAAATTGGACAATTGCAGTAACATAATACTTGTATTACCCTTACAATAATACCCCTAATCAAATATTAATTATGTTTTAATGAACTTATCAAAACAATTTGTAAAACCAATTTAATGTACTAATCATAGTTTGTTAAGTAATTGTTCAGAGTATATAGGTATCCATTCGGTATGGTTACTACCTATAAATATATGAGCCTAGATACGAATCTGTTGCCCGGAGAAAATAATAAAAATACCTGCGTAAGACTGAAATTTTGAGTATGTAGCCGGGTAGAGCTGGCAAAATGGGCCGAGCCCGCCGGGCTGGCCCGCCCCGCCCGCCAAACGGGGCGGGGCAGGCTGAGTTTTCTAAACCTGCTGCCCGCCAATCCCGCCAGCCCGTCCGGGCTGATTTTTTTTTTTTTTTTTTTAAATTTTTAGTGTAAAATGTGACGGGCTTGGCGGGCAGAGATATCTAGCCCACCTTCAATGGCGGGGCGGGGCGGGCCAGCCCGGTTTTTGGCGGACTTTTGGCGGGCAGGGGCGGGCAACCCGCTTTGCCACCTCTATACCCGGGTACTATGTATATATAACGATAGATTTTTATTTTACTCCAATGTAAAATTAAAAAAATCTTATTTTATATTTTAATAGTTGATTTTTGTTGATCTAATAGCTGTAATTTATTGAAGAGTAATAATTAATTAATAGATATAACTCAATAAACTACAAAAATCAACCGTTAAGTTTGAGAATAAGATTTTTTAATCTACATTAAACTTTTAACATCCCCCCTCTTTATATGTATATAGTTTACAAGATAAGTTATTTTACCTACTCTCATTTTACCTACTTTTGTCACCCCTTTCATTACGGTTCGATTACAATCTAATTCAATGGTTCATATTTACGAAATAAAATAAACCCTTTTTTCTCTTTCTTTCTCCTCACTTCCTCTCACACCCTTTCTCTCTCATCCCCTTTCTCTCTTCCTCGGCTGCAGCAACCATCCTTCTTCTTCTTCTTCTTTTGTTTGAAAATTGCAATCATCCTTCTTGACACACTTGTATTTGACAGATCCAAAATCAAAAGGCAACACGATAAATTAGATCAGGGGTACGAATGACTAAGAATGGTTTGAAACCTCAAATCTGGATTTGGACGATCCTTTTTTTTTTTGATAAATTGGACTATCCTTTCTTGTGATTCATAAATGAAATATATCAATATATATATTATAATTGTTAAGTTCTTTTAATTCATAGTTTCACAAAAAGCAATGATATGGGATGAAGCCATGAATCTGATCCTATTACATAAAAATGGATAAACCCATTTCGCACAAGCAGACACCGGCGATGAAGGAAAAAAAATATCTCATGTATGGCGTAGAGGAAGAGAGAAAGGGGAGGAGAGAGAAAGGGTGTGGGAGATGTAAGGACCCGCACCGTTAATTAAGGAAGTTAATTAATTAATTATGAGAAATTAGGAAATAATTCTATAATTGACCCTAATAATTATTATGAGGCTTAAATAATTATGGTAAGTGATTAATAATGCTGAAAGTCGCTTTTCTGACGAAAAGTGCAGATATCGATTCTGCTACTCAGTATAAATGTGTACTAATGAAGTATCCCGGAAAATTATAATAAGTGTGGAAATATTCCTAGAATAATATATAGGACTTGTAAAACAAGTTTCGAGTTAAAATAATGAGAACTGGTGCCAGAACTGATACTGGCTATAGAAAAAGCGCGTTCCGAAAAGGTGCTGCGAAAAATAAAATAAAAATATAATAAATCTTAGAAAACTGAGTAGGTTCAGAACCCAAAATTTGAGATTAAAATGTTAAGCGTAGCTATTATTTCTAATATTGTGTGATTACACTTAAGTGGACTATATATACTAGTGGGCTCTAAACCCTAGGCCATGTTGAGGCTGCCTACGTGAGGAATTTCTGAACCCTCTTCAGCTGCCACCCTTCCTCTACCATTCCTTAGCCATTTTCTTCTTGAACTTCACCAAAGGGACCTCCTTTGCTTCTTGTTCCTTCACCTTTTTAGTGGAGTGTTGTGAGGACAAGCCTTGTGTGAGTGAAAGGTCCTTGTTTTCTGAGTTTAGGCTGCTGTGTTGAGGAGTTTTGTAGGCTAAGTTGATGTTCATCTTTGGTGAGATCCATTCCCTTGTTTTTGGAGGCTTCAAGGAGCCACCTTTGAGTAGAAAGGTCCAAGCTTGTGTTGTATTTTCGTGGCTTGGCAAAGTCAGAACCTTGGTGTGTGGTTGGAGACCTCTTTGCTGTCTCATTTTCGGAGTTGTGAGCCTTGGAGGTATACCATGATCACCTCATTGTCTTTTTGAGGTTTTAAGCTTGTTTAATCGGTTAAAAAGTAAAACTCGGATCATTTAAGTAAATGAACATGTTTCTGAGTTCTTAACATGCTTATGAACATCTGTTTAGGGAGTCATTGGACTCTCAATCGCTTTTGGACCCTTAAAATTGGGATTATGCAGAAGTCTGTTCGAATTTCTGAATTCTATTGAAGAAGTATTCGAATACTTTTTGTGTAGTATTCGAATACTTGTTCACTTGTAATTGAATACTCCTTACTGGAGTATTGAAATACTTTCCTGGGAAGAAAAGTATTCGGATACCTATGAAGAAGTATTCAAATACTGAAGAGTATTCGAATACAAGGTGTGTGGCATTCGAATACCTCTGGGTATTCGGATACTGAGTGGGAAAGTATTCAGATACCTTGTAGTATTCGAATACTTAAGTGAAAGTAGTCGAATACTTTCTGGAAAGCTGGAGTATTCGAATACTACTTGTGGAGTATTCAAATACCTCCTGCAGAAACAGCGTGGAATGAGTTAAAATGAGTAAGAAAGCCTTAATCACTTAATGTAATCTTGAGTAATGATTATTGATGATTAATTATTGTATAAACAGATTGTGATTGTGCTGTTTGTGGGCCTTGAGCTGTGTGGACTCTTGGCTTGGATAGTTAGCTTGCAAGGTAAGCTTTCGTGTCCTCAGTTTAGCCATTGTGTGGTTCCACCATACCCCATGGGGGAATAGTTTATATGCATGTTGTGTTTACATGCTTTGATAATTGAAAATGTTGTTGAGCTTTATGTGCAATGGCTTTTAATATGTATGTGTTGTTCCACTTAGACGGTTAGCCTGAGTATGTGGCGTCATACAAGACGGTGACACTGTGGGTGGTGCAAGTGGCGTCTTGCACTAGTGTAGGTAATAGACGTATTCCTGCATTCTCTGGCCAGTAGATTAGTTATGACACACATGACATGATTATCTGCTACATTGCACTATTTTGGAACTTATACTGTTAAACTGTTTTTGAACTTATATTGCACATGTAAGTGAGCTTGGGGTGGAAGATCCTTGAGGACTCCTTGTCTTACTGAGATTTTTGTTTAGAGATCTCGCCTCACGTTTGGG